TCATAATTAAATACGGGAAGCAGTAGTAACATAAAAAAGTAGCGAAAACGTTATAGGAAATATTGAAAATATAATTAAAATAATGGGCCAGTGCTAGATCATATAATAGGAAAACATGTAGTGACTTATGTACTTGGCCTCAATAATGTGATATCAATACTTTTTGTTAGAGGAATTCACAGCAATCCTGTACTTGGCGTAGTTTTTTACACGTAAGTGTTTTTTGGGGGATCTATTACTACTCTAGGCCTATACTACGATCGGCGCTATCAACATTAAACAAACGATCTATTTAAGTAATTAAAGTATAAACGAATGGCAATAGGATATCAAAAGGTTTCGATTGGAAAATCTTAATAATATGAGTTCTGCACTCAAATATAAAGTTTATTCATTGAAGATGATTACGACAATTATTTTACATTATATTTCACACACGCATGACGCGTGTAAATATCTAAAAGTAAGAGAAATTGAGAAAAGGACAACTGGGAAGAATAGTATATCAGTCTATGGAGATCACGTACTGGCGACTTCAACACAACAGTCTAGGAATCTGACGGATCGAATCTGAGCTGGCGTCTGCAACAATGTTGCTAACTATCGCGCGACTAGCAATACACATTGGGGCCTGCAGCATCAGGTCGTTCACAATCGTACAGGCAGGAGCATCATGGTAAGTAGCTCTTAAATAGTTATAAGGAAACAAGACGCAACACGTCTAATGTTTATTTTATTACTATGAAGGACATTGCGAGAGAGAATATTCTGAATTAATAGAAAATGATTTTCCTTTTCAGTCTAGTTCATCATTGGATGAAGAGATTAAGCTACTGGGGGCAGTTGTTTTCACGGAGGAGTCGTATGTATTTATATCGTTTACTGAAAATCATTTAACAAAAGTAGCCTATAATATTAATATATTTCATAGTTATAGCACTGCTATGGAGGGCGTAAACACGGGGCCAGCACCACTACCGCCGCCACCACCACCACCATCACCATCATAACCACCACTTAATTATTAACAGGTAAGACGAAAAAAATTGGCGCTGGAGGAAGAAGTGGG